CACCATTCTAGAGCGCGTCGATGAAATAACTGAATTAATGTGGTGCCAGGTGGAAATTAAAACAACTGTGCCGAGACCGCATGAATTTCAATGAGCGTCGATAACAAAGAGCCAGAACAGAGGCGAGAGAAAGGGGATCCCATGAAGGGGACTCCGAGCTGTAAATAATTTGGTAAAGGCTGTGAATTTAGAGCTCAGGGTACACCTTGGCTATTTGAGGTTGAACAAAGAAAGAGTCAAGAGAATGGAGATGTTGGATAGATAGGGATGAAACAAACAAAAGCCGCAGAAATCGGCCGTCGTGCGGTGTCCGGAATAAATTTAGTGCCCGATTTGGACTATTTAGTCTCAATTTGGACTAATAGCCGACACATCTTCCCAGCATCAAAGTTAGTCTCGATTAGGCACTAACTCATCAAATCCATGTTCGGGCTCTTGAATAATGTCTGCCCTGTGTATCTTCTGTCCGATAAATCTAAAAATATTACAGTAAATGTGTACCATTGTTTTTTAAAGCCTCATGCATTGTAAGTATTTTTCCGGCCCAATTCTGGGACTAAATGTGGTTATTTCGCTTTTTTGAAATTACCTTGCGGGTTCTCTGAATACTAGTAGAGGACATTCAGAACTTTGAAAAACTCCACTTTGCATGTCAACCAATCTGAACTTGGTGCAGATAGTGTTTTTTTGACCTATTTATGACAGAAAACCAAAGCAAAGTGTGTTGTGGTCCCGAGATCTCCAGATCAGCCTTGGTATACATGCAGTTATGTACATTGGAGCCTGATATGCACAAATCACCTCCAACTAAGCTCAGGTAAGACTATACAACCCGATAGTTCCCACTTGAATATAACATGTTCTACCTGATAATTAGGGTCCAATATGAGCCCAGTCATATGGGAAGCACAATACTCCTAAAATTTGATTCTGTAGGGATCTAAATTACTCTGGGTCACTTCCTTTTCATCTGAAAGAGGTGATGAGACTTGGAAATTGAACTATGGGGATTTCACAATGGAATAATCTTCCAGTTTGAGACCAGCCAGTATCCATTGCAGAAGTGTACAAAAATGAAGACAAGGGTCAAAGATAGCTACCGCTATTTTGTGCAGCACTCAACACAAGACAGACAAGGGCAAAGACTGTTTCAGTAAAGAAACAACAAATGCAACTGTATGGATCAGATAAATTTCCAGTGGTCTAGACAGAATGCTAGAGGGCTGCCCAGCCTATATTCAAGTAGATTCTGAGCTGAAACTGTACATGTACCACCAACCACCGCAACACAGAGGAAAGATTATGAAGGAAGTAAAAGAAAGGAGGTTGCCAGGTTCGAACCATTGACCAGTATTGGGTCTCATGTGACGAAAAATCAAAAACAAGAGGTAATGACCACTCAGCAAAACACCCACAATGAGTGCCTTCCCCGCAGACTATATCTGAATAGAAAAAATTTTCCCTCAAAATTCCAGACACTGCTAGATTTCGCTGTTTCGAAAAAGTTTTGCACAATGTCCGTTCGACTTTTGATGTGAGGCCAAGGATTAGTGAGTTTTGGATGTAGATCCGTCGACAAGAGTCTTCCCCACCAAAACAATCGAGTCCCCCAGTGCCCCACCTGTTCGTGTCCTTCCGGACCGCCCACAGTTACTGATGGAGCTACATCCAAACTCGGTAATCCTTGGCCTCACATCAAAAGTCGGACATGGTGCAAAAATTTACGCTGTCAAGCTTTCCGAAACAGCTCTATTGAAGGTAGGTAGAATTACACGGCCGGTCCCGCTAAGAGAATGAGTAATATTGACAATGCTGTCTTATCGGTTTGCATCCGCGGAGAGACGCTAGCGACCGTGACATGTGCTATACATTTTTGATTCGTTTAGAAGTTGCGCCTGGTGGTGTGGCGCCCTTGTTCTACACGAGGCTGAGTGGATTTGAATCACATGAAAGCGCCATCGCCCATCCTCAGCTTCAGATACGACGCCCATGTTCATGATCGGTACACTCCCCCGCGCCGTGCTCGAGGCTTCCAGCGATTCCTGCGACGACATCAACCAGTGCCGCCAGCTTTCCGGCATTATCTGGGGCTGCCTCGTCACCATATTTGTTGCGACATGGGTCTCTGTACACCCCAATATTCCCGCCCCAAGTCAAGGCTGGTTCAAACCCACTCTCCGGCGACTTGGGATGATGCTCGTTGCAGTCATTGCCCCGGAGTTGATCGTCTTCTTTGCGGCGAGGCAATTACATAGTGGTCGCACGGGAATTTTCCAGAGGTGTGTGGACCTAGCCAAAACTCGTTTGCTTTCATGAAACCGAGGTGGATTATTTAGAATTCGGTGTTTCTATAACCCACGGTTTCTTTTTCTCGATGGGTGGGTTTGTGTCTCGAAACGGCCACCACCCAATTACGAGCATGTCACAAATCAACGACCCACTGCTTAGGCCACAATATCTTTCCGACATCGAGGATGTTGAAGAGGAGGATATGATGGACAAGAGCAAGAGCGATGCCCTCGCAAAGGGGATCGCCCTCCTCCAAGGCCTTTGGTTCATCACGCAAATTATCGCTCGCTTTGCCCAGCGATTGCCGACAAGCGAGCTCGAAATTGCCACATTTGCATTCGCCGTAGTGAATATTTTCACATGGGTGATTTGGTGGTACAAACCGCTTGACGTCCGTCGGCCCATTCTCATCGGGCCCGCCCCACCGAAACCTGCGCGCGCACCCGGGGTCGCTAAGCAAACACCTGCATCTCCCTCCAAATCCCGGGTCCGGATGACCACGCTCGATTGTGGCCCTTCGTTGACGTCGCTCGTCCACGAAAACAATATGCAGCTGGCGATTCCCTTGTTGGCGGGTCCCCGGGATTATTACAATCCTCACGCCCCGAATACAGCGAATATCATGCCGCGAAGTGTAGAGACGAACCGACTCAGCAGGTGGTACGAGATCATCGAGACGTTCTTATCAGGGCCGATCCTGGGCACGTACGAACATTATCGCCCGGGCGCCTCGACGTTTGTCCCCGAATTCTGGTCCTCGTCCGATACTCCACGCTTTAGCCCATTCGCGGCTATGCTGGTGGGCACAATTTTCGGCCTCATCCACTGCACCGCATGGAATGCGGCGTTCCCTTCCGTGGTTGAGATGTGGATGTGGCGAGTGAGCGCGGTGCTCGTTGCAGCGTATCCGGCGTCGCTTCTCTTTCCGCACTTGGCTGGGGAAATTGGACTATGCCCTGGACACGTTCATGAACATGTCCCCGTGCCCGTCCAAGTCATCGGCGTAGGCTTGTACGTCGTTGCCCGTCTTTTGCTTACCGTTCTGGCGGGCACAACTTTGCGCACCATGGATCCCGGATGGTTCAAGAATGTCGATCTGACAGTACAAATAGCGCACATAGGCATATCCCTATAGCGGTATCAATTAAACTTCTCAGGTAGACTTAAGCCGGGCTTCAGACATAGAGTGTCCGTCCTGAGCGGCTCAGCGCGTGTACAACATCTTCCCGGCTAACCGTCGTCCTTTGAAGCACAATTTCAGCTGTGAACCATGACGTGTCAAGCCATCCACATACCTATACTCATGAGTCGTATGCAAGACCGTATCTCGGAGTAAAACGTCCATATACGAACGCAGCCACCCGCGAGTTTCTTCATACACGAGCCCCGAGATGCGCTTGACGCCGCCCCGGCAGGCAAGGCGGCGTAGCGTAGGTTTCTTGCCGACACCTTTCGCACGGAGAAGAGAGTCTGTTGCATGTGGATCTGGAGCGGCAGATACTCTACACACCAACCATCGCGGTCGCGTCTCGCAGGATGCGGCGGCGCCGTCGTCGAGAGGCGGGATTATTATGTGGCGGCAGTGTGGAAGCAGACATGAGCGCGGAAGACATGAGGGATTGAACCGTGATGAAGCGGACTCCCACGGAAATCGTCATGATGCCGACATGCCTCGTGACCATCTTGAATCTCGGCGGACGGACCCCAACATCGAGACTGTAACTACCTTACTCCGGAGTCGAGTTTACTTATCTGATGGTTCGATTGAATACTAAATCATTTACTAAAGTTTACTAGTAAATCTTCCTGATTTTCTTTTCCCTACTGAAACAGGGATCTTCATTATTGGCTGTAACGTTCACAGACAAATCCTAAAGTTGGTTGAGGAATCAACGCAAACGTCGAAAGGAACCGAAATTTGCAGCCAGGGTGCGCACCAGCCTCTTCCGCACTCCTAATTTACTTGCCACGTATTCGGACTCACAAAAGAGTTGGCAAGTCTTCGTGGAGTAAAAAAAAGGCGACTCGGTCCCATTCAATAGCTCGATGCCAGCTTTGTCTGAATCTGAATGCAGGGAATGCCGGCGGTTCGAATCCGCCCGAAGACATGTCTTACTCCCGTGGATCTTTTTTTCTGGGTCCGGGACGCCGCGGTACCATTTGCATTCGATAGTGTTCAAAAAGAAGACAGGCTCGGGAGTACATAATGCTGATGGAACTCTGTAGGAGGAAACGAAATGCAACTTGAAGCCGAAAATCAACCAGGGAGCGCTCCAACCCACCTCATTTTTATTGCCATCCCTCGGGATCACACTGCGCCCCACAACCCTCGTGGAGTACCAAGGCAACTCGCTCCCCCTCTATTATAGTGTTGAAAGTGGAGTACAGGGAGCGCCGACGGTTTGACTCCGCCCGAGGGCTTATGTTTGTCTCCCGCGCGTTCTTTTGTCTTTCTCTTCCACTTCCACTTCCGGGTGCTTTTTTCACCTCTGCGCCGGGTACCCAACAGAAGTACCAAATCCAGCCCAACCCAAACCCAGATAAAGGATCCGATCGGGAGTGCCGCACTAGTGAGTCTGCGCTGATTATATTGGGGAGGAATTGACGCAAGCGTTCGAAAGGAACCGAAATTTGCAGGCTTGGAGCGCTCCAGCCTCTTCCCCACTCGTAATTTGCTTGCCACGTATTCGGACGCACAAAAGAGCTTGCAAGTCTTCGTGGAGTAAAAAGGCAACTCGGTCCCATTCAATAGCTCGATGCCAGCTTTGTCTGAATGCAGGGAATGCCGGCGGTTCGAATCCGCCCGAAGACATGTCCTAGTCCCGTGGATATTTTTTGGGTGGACTCCTTGGTCCCAGAACGAGCGGAAAGAGGCCAAGCTCGGGAGTAGATCTCCGTAAGAGAAAACGAAACGCACACCCAGAATTCTGTATCCCGTCGAGAACTTGTGCAAACAACTCGAAGCCGAAAATCAACCAGGGAGCGCTCCAGCCCACCTCATTTTTCTTGCCATCCCTCGGGATCACACAGCGTCCCACAACCCTCGTGGAGTACCAAGGCAACTCGCTCCCCCTCCATAATAGTGATGCGGTTATAGTACAGGGAGCGCTGGCGGTTCGACTCCGCCCGAGGGCTTATGTTTATCTCCCGCAAATTTTTTGTTTCTCTCTTCCTCTCTCTCTTCCTCTCCCTCTTTCTCTTTCTCTTTTGTGTTACCGCTGCGCCGGATACCCAACCGAAGTACCCAAACCCAATCACAAATTATAATCATAATTATGTACGAACCCGTTCGCAATATATAAAACACACCGACGTATTACACCCCACCCCCACCCCCCTCGCGTTCGGGCGGGGGCACATACGGGGGCGGCTGCTGCATGAGAATATGCTCATTCACGTGCGCCTCGAGCTGCGCGAGGCGCGTCTCCAGCACGCGCTCGCGCTCGGAGGGCGCGGTATTCGATGGTGTATGTGTGGTTGTGGTTGTAGGCGTGGGCACGGAGGGCACGGAGGCGGTGGAAGGCAAGGCCGGGACGCTAGAGAGGTCCGTGCTCGACTGGAGCGGCGTTATGGTCGTCTGGGTGGGGGACACGGTGGATGCTGGCGCAGGGAAGGGGTGCGTCCACGCCAGGTCGACTGTGGAGTGGGTGGGAGATGTAAGCGACAGTGAAATCGATTTTTTCGAGGTGAATGGGGCGAGAGGAGGGGTGCAAGGAAGGAAGGAAGGATGGATGGGCTCGGAAAGAGGGAAGGTGGAGAATGTAAAAGGGAAGAGGGAACTTTTTTGAAATAAAATAAAGATAGGAGAAGGACGTACGCATTTTCGAGTCGCTCCCGCTCGTCGGCGTCGACAACAAAGATGGCGCCGTCGCCGTCGTATGCGCTGGTGCGGCCGCCGGCGCGACGAAAGGATCCACGGCCCCCAGGCGCGGTTGTGGCCGCGGCTTACGCTCACGCTCTCCCTCCCCCTCGGCCGCACGCCCGCTTCGGCGCCGACGCACAAAAAGGATGGCTGCGCCGCCGATGAGGGCGAGGAGCGCGAGCCCGCCTATCACACCACCGACGATGGCGCCAACGTTGGATTTTGTTTTGGAATTGTTGGGGACGCCCGTTCCGCTTTGATTCCGATGTCAGTTTATTTTTGGGGAAGAAAGATCCGGGAGGACGACGTACGAAGGCGCAGCAGAGCTCTCGGCCGTGGTGAAGATTGCATAGTCGAACAGTCCCGTCGAGCCGTTCGTTTTTGTCTCATGCAGCACCCATGAGACGGAGTGATTGACGTTTCCTGTCAGAGACGCCGCGTTGAAGAAGAGCGACTGGAACACGAACTGCTCGGAGCCCGCGTAGTAGTGGAACCCCGCGGGCGCGCCGTCGAGCGAGAAGGTGATGTTGGCGGGGTTGTCGAGGTCGATGCCGTAGATCCACACCGCAGAGCCTGCGTGCAAATATGTAATGTGAGATGGTGGCGAGATGAACGAAGAAGGGGATGCACCTTGAAAGGTGAACGACCCCGCACTGTTGTTCCCCCCGTCGTGCCAGGTCTTGTTATAGATATCCGTCGTCTGCGGCTGCGCGGAGCAGTAGTCGCAGGGCGTGGTGGGCGTTATCGCAGCCCAGGGAATTAGTACTGGCGGCGAGTCCGGGTCTTCCGTCCAGGTGAAGTAGGCGTCGTTCGAGTCATCGATGGTGATGTTGGTGGGGACGGCGCGCACGGAGACGGTAAGGAGCGTGAGGACGAGGGCTAGGCGAGGGAGGAAAGGTCGAGGCATGGGACCAAGCTCGGACAGATGGAGCTAGCGATATGAAACATCTTGATTCGTATCGGTTTATTGCACCCGGGAAACGATCGGCAAACCCCGGCAAAGATGCCGTTGGTCGGCCCTCGGAAACACTCCCGAAGCCAGGGAATTCTGGGAGGAGGAGGTATTGTTTTTTCGATGGTTGGAGAAAAAGAGGCGCAGTAGGTGGACGGTACGGGCGCAAACCGAAGAAATGAACAACAGCTTCCGCAAGTCACGTGTCCCATCGTTCACACGGTTGGTTGTTGGTTGGTTGCCTTCGATTGCCCGAGCTAGAAATTATTGAGAAACTAGCCCAGAAAATTCGATTGGGATCTGCGTGGAAGATTCAGAGGTAGTGAACTTTCTCGCGGTTTTGCTCACTATGATAGCGCGAAAATGTGAGCTGATAAATGTGACAGCAAACTAGATCTATAGAAGAGCACGTTGAAGTTCATTGGCGAAGGATTGAGGAGCCAATGCGCTGTGGATCCACTCCTATTGTGTTGAGTAGAATCGGAGAAGCAATAGAAATATCCGGTCGATTATAGAGTTCCGAGAGCAGCGTAACGACCCAGCTAATATTATTACTTACCTTCAACTGCACTTCGGCTCCCTTTTCGGATGTCCGTCTGACATTCTCTTCTAACACGGGAGCAATATGCCACACGTACACACCAACACAGAGGTAGAAAATCACCTCCCGGACCTGGAAGCCTTCGGGCCGATTCAAACCGCCGGCACTAGGGTCTTGTTTATTATGCCGGTTTATAAACACGTTTATAAACAGCGGTTTATAAACAAGTTTTTAATCCTGGAGCAGAAACATCTTGTTTTTAAAGATTTCATGGGGGGTTCTCTGAGGCGGGAATTTCAGTTTTTAAAACTTGTAAGTCTCGCAGTGACGTGTTGAAGTGAGTGTTCAATAATTCAATGGAAGTCAGATGCCTGAATATTCAACTACTACCTGGATTTGTAACGGGAAATCTCGTAATTTTGCACAACCTTTCCTCTCTTCTCTTTATTATTTATTTCTCATTTACAGCCAAGAAAAAAATGGGCACCCTCACTGGGGCCCGCCATATCAGCCGGGAGCGAAAAAATCTGCTCTAAACCAACTCTCCGACCACCTGGGGGCATTTTTGGTGAGCCGTTTATAAACGAGAATTAACAACTGGTTTATAATCCTCAGGGATTAATAAACAAGACTCTAGCCGACACTCCCACGACAAATTTTTACTCCACTTATGCGGGAGGAGCGAATTTCCTACTCCGCGAAGACTAATAGGGAGGCTGTTTGATACCGGCATATATGCGGGGAATAGATTGCTTCAAGAAGTATCGAGCCTGAAAGGTCGCAGCATTCCTTCTTGTGTTCTCAACGGAATATTGGACAATGCCATGGCCGTTTGGATTTCCTTACTTCCTGGATATGCATGCACTGGGCGACTTCTACCCCTGCGGTCGATTTAAACCTCGTTTTCCTTGGAATGAGAGAAATGGGAGGAAAAGGAAAAACGCTCTCGACCTCTAAGTCTTCGGCCGGATTCGAACCGCCGGCACCTTTGCAGGTAAATATCTCCGCCCGTGTACCAGGGGAGCGAGTTTCCGCAGTAGTCAACGAAGACTTGCAACCCTCCTTATGAATCCGAGGACATGGCAGGAAATGGTGGATGCGGAAGAGGCTAGACAGCTCCCAGGCTACTTTTCAACTTGCATCGTCAAATTCTAAACAAGATGTTTTACAGTGAATGCCAGACCGGCTCCTCTCTCACTGAACCTATTTATTTTCGTCCTCGGACCGAGGAGTCTCAAAAAAACCATGCGACTCATTCATGTCTTCGGACGGGTTCGAACCGTCGACGTTCCCTAGATAAGGCCACCGCAATAGTCGAATGGGAATGAGTTTCCGAAGTACTCCACGAAGACTTGCAAGCGTCTTGATGTGAGCTCGAATACACGGGGATGAATAAATTTCCGCTTCAAGCGCTCGAACCGCATACTGTGGGTTAGACGGTCTCCTTTCCTTCCCTAACATCCTGCGAGGTCCCGGTTTTTTATGAGATTACGAGACCTTGCGAAAGTCGATAAGAAGCCAAGTCGTCATGCGAGATGGGTTGGATTCGAGAAAACTAAAGAACAACCCAGCCACTGTTTAATTAAATATAATTCTAATGTATTAAAAGCTTTCGTATCTAAAGATGTTACCTACCATGTGTGCTGTCAATTCTACCTTGTATTCTATGCATACGTCGCGAACAAAGTCGGTACAGACAAAAAACTTGAGCAACGGCGATTGATACTGGCACTACAGTAAATAATGACTCAAAGCCCCGTAAACTGGTTCACGAAGCCAACAAAGGTATTGAACGGCCCCTTCGCAAAAAAGTCGAGATTCATATCATGTCCACTTCCCTGGGCCACTACAATCTCAAAACTGTGTGCCTCTGGCCACAAGGTGCGTTCCGTTGCAGTCAACGCCGCGACGTCTACACACTCCCCAGCACCGCAAAAAAAGCGGTCTTCTGAGCCTAGGACCTTCGCGACGGGCCCGGTATAGTGCGACGTCACGGACGTTATATCCCCCTGTAAGACCGTGGACACGGACCCGACGTCCTTCGTGAAGTTGTCGAATATGACCATCCGGGGTGAGAATGAGGTCGGATCGGTGGGGTAGAATATACTGCGGTTGCTCGTTGTGATATAATTGGGGTCGAGGGCTCCCCACCGGAGCGGGGTATCATCCCGCGCGCTAGTGGCCCCAAGAAGAGGGGCCAATGCGCTGAGGGAGAGGTTCCGCGAGCTCGTGAGGATGAGCCCGTCGAAAGGAGATTGCGCGCCGTCAACGATGGCGCCAAAAGTCAACAGAATTGACCCCGCGCTGTGCCCTATGCCAATAATCTTTTTGAAGGGCTGGATCCCGGGGAGAATGGAGGCGGTCTTGAGGTAACGAGCCACTTGCGAATGGACAGCGGCGCCGGTAGCGTACTGCACGTCAGAGGCATTCGCGGGTCGCGAACTCAGTCCGGTGCCC